TTTTTTTGTATGTGAATTTCTGGTTAATTATGCTTTTATATTTTTAATCTTATGATTTTAAAAATATATATTTTTTATTGTAAATTGCCCCAAACCTCGCCATGTAGATTGCATACAAATATTATATGATCAGTAAATAAAGGTAGAACATATGTTAATATGTTTCCCTACAAAGTCAATTCTTGCTCAATGACAGACCAAGGAGTTAACTTGAAAAGGCAAGAGGAAAGAAAATCTAGAGGAGGTCTGCGCAACTTGTAGAAGAGAAAGGCCCACACTGATAAATTAAAAATCTTTGTGGTCTGCAAAGGAATGCTGGTGGGCTAATCAACAATTTGGTGACTAGAGGAGCATCTACAGTGTTGGAGATGGTGTCAGGTTAAGTCATGAAGGCACTAGGCAACATGACTTTCAGGGCAGTGATGGTGATTTTATTACTTTTGTTTTTTTTTTAAAAAAGTCTGTGCTCTGTCCAAGGGTGCTTAGTAGGCTGAATATATCGGTCTGGTCTAGAATTTATTTTGGAGCATTCAACTATCTAGAGACATCCATTTTTTGCATTGCAAAGGGCCTTTCATCTGTTGTATATATGGTTTTATTCTTGTGTGCAAAAAGGATTCTAAATTAATTGAGTTATATCCTGGTGTAAAGTCTGACAGCTTGAGTTAAAGAGCCTATAAAATCTCAAATGACTCCAGTTGTTTTGTTCAAGTATGCTAATGTTCTAAGGTAAATATTATTCATACTATATAATATCCAGATGAGCACCTCAGTAGCATGTGGTAGTTCTATGAGGTGTGGTGGACTTCATAATTTGTTGACTGAAGAAACCACCTTGCCATATGTATATATGCAACTACCATTATTTTTCAAGCTACATTAATTGAACACATGGCACACATCACAAATCAGATTCCTCTTTAATGCACTATTCCTCTGCTTGACCATAGGACATTTAGAAATGCAATTACGTTCTTTTGCTTCCAAAACATTCTTCCTTATCTTCCTGGTACACTGATCACCATAAAAATACTCAAGGTCTCTTGGGATAAGAATAAGTATGGTATTTAAGGAACGCAATAGAAAGCATTCACAATGCACGATGTATTTAAATTTCATTTTGTTTGAGGCAACTTCTTATAAAAGAATTGCCATTAATTTGTTTTAATAAAATAATTTAAATCAATTTTTCGCTTGATTTCAAATTAAATGAATTATATTGGTTGACAATGAGATTTTTTTAGTACAATTGCCAAATGCAATAAACTTGTTCTAGGTATATGTGTGCACTAATTATTTCAACACCAATACATTTTAACAACATATTCTATTTGTAAATGAATGCAAATGCAAATTATACATTTTTTGTGCAAAAATAAAACAAAATAACAGATTTAAGAGCTGTTATCATTAGTTATTCTTAGATAAAAAAAATCCCATCATCCAAAACTTTGTTATACTGTATTTAACGAACGGATGGTTGGGATTAAAAAAAAAAAAGACTGACTATATTTGATAGTGTATCACCATGGCATTAAAATAAAATTCGAACAGCGTATGAAAAATAAAGGTACCCTAAATCTCTGAAAGCTATAGCCATACATTTTCCTTGATAGCATTCTATTGCCTTCTTTTTAGCATTTTTTTTTCAACTTCCCAGCTTAGCCAACAATTATGGGATTCTTATGTGGTTCCCCATTCAACCAGCCAATTCTGCTTAGCTTTTAAGAGCAGCCAAAGTTAGCTATGGGTTACATCTGTTGCTGCAAAAATATTGTTTGGGCCAATACTTGACATTACAGAACCTGTTTCAGCCTAGCCTTGTAATTCCCTGGTAGTCTTCCAACCAAGTTCTAGTGAGGGTTGGCTTTTTTTTTTTAGTTTCTGAATTCAGACAAATTTGACTAGGCATTGCCATCCAAGACCTAAAAATTCAAGGACTTTCTTTCTTTTTCCTAAAAATCTCAATTAATTTGTTCTCTTCCATTTCTTCTCTAAAGGTATAACTGCAAATTTGCTCATTACCGCACTGTTTCTCCCTCCCTCTCTTTCTCTCTTTTCATGAGACTTGATATGGAAAAGAAGCAAGCAGAAGGTTTCAGATCTGAAAATAGGGAGGAGGAGAAGGAGGTGATAGTGCTCACAGTGCAGAACACTGATGGCAGGTTAATTTTCAGTCACAGCACTACCTTGTTACATAGAAGACAATACAAATACCTCCGATGATGATTGTTACTAAAAGGATGGCAAGGGTTCAAACAAATTCTAAAAGCCATGTTCTGTATGCTTTCCTACTTTGTTTTAACAAAGTCAAAGAGAGAATGTTCAAGGAATTAAAAAAATTAGAAGAATAAATTCTATGGGTACAGGAGTTAGAACTGCATGAAAGAAAGAAATCTTGCTGAGAGTGGAATGGAATTCTTGTCAACCTCCTCCAAAATCCTGTTGCTTTTAAATATTCGCACCTTCTTATGAAGATGAAGTTGCGTAAACAAAAGCAGAATTTTACAGCAGAGTTGTGGCATTATAACAGAGATGCAAGATAGATACTCCCACAGAACACCATCAAAAAGGCATGGGGAGAGTTTTCCTTCAGTTCGAAGCTGAAGTTTCTTTTTAAGAGATCGGGAAAGACAATAGAACATCCATTGAAAACGTGCCTATAACAGACCAAGTAAGGTGGCATAGTCTTCTAAGAGGCCTCTGAGAATCCAGGTAGTCCTCAACTCAGGACCACAACTGAGATCAGAATTTATGTTGCTAAGTAAGAGAATTGTTATGTAAGTCATGCCTGATTTTGTGACCTTTTTGCTGTGGCTGTTAAACATATTATTACAATTGTAAGGTGAATCATAGATCATTAAGCGAATCCAGCTTCCTCCATTGACTTTGCTTATCAGAAGCAAGCTGGGAAGATCACAAATGGTGATTACATGCTCAGGATGCTGCAGCTATCGTAAATACATTCCAGTTGCCAAGTGACCAAATTTCATCACATGACCATGAGGATGCTGTGATGGTCATAAATACGAAGACCGATTGTAAGTCACTTTTTTTTAGTGCCATTGTGATTTGGAACAGTCATCAACAAATAGTTATTAAGTTGAGGATTACCTGTAAGACCTACCAAATATTTCCAGGAGGAAGGAGCTAGAAAAAGGACCAAAGTGTCAGGTGATCAAAGAAAGACTCTAAGGCGCAGAATGGTTGCCAGCTACTAAACAAACTGAGTAAACTATAGTGGGAACAATGCCAGGAAGGAGTCCTAAACAATAGATCTGTCATATATTTCATGGTAATGATCTATATTTTTATTCTGCCTTAGGCAAAGAATAAAATCTTTGCCAATCAAGCATAGCAGCATTGCTTGATATTGCTGTCAGCAACAATGCTTCGTCTTAAAGAAATGTATCTCCTGACATAAAAAACAGCACCCAAGTTTCAATAACACATGGCCTTAATTTATTACTACCTAACAAAAACACCAATAAAACCTCTAGAGAAACAACTACCTCCTTTTAATCCGATATGAAGTATAAATTAAATGTATAAATTAAGTAACAATTAACAAATGTCTACTGACTGTGCTGAGATTAAGGTCTAGCTTTGAACTATATTTAATAGTGGTACCCATACTTGTCCTTGAAGCTATTTTGGATTATTTTTCAGCTCTATCAGACAACAAGAAATATATTTTATAAAAAATTGAAATACGTTTTACCAAATTCCTGGTAATAGTTACAGGTCTATGCAATCCTTTAAAAATGGGATTTGATGAAATATCTTATCTCAGTTATATTCTTTATGAATGAAAGCTAAGCACTACAAGAGTTTAAGGAAGTCTATCAACTTTCTTTTTTTCAAAATTCAAGCAAGTGGTTGAAGTAAGGAATGCTATTTAATAAACTTAGAGTCACTTTTTAATTAGTGTGACATATATGCCCTCATCAAAAACAAACCATATCCTTCAAGTTTAGTAGGTAAATATTTTAGGAGGAAGATGATAGTTGAATGTATAAACAAAATATAGAATTTTTGTATATCTAAAAAATTTGAATGATTGGTACCTTTTTCTTGGAAATAATTTCCAAAGGCCAGCAAAAATGTAAAGATAATGTAGTTCATGAATATAGGACCTTAATTTGTCTGATATGTTAAAACTTTGGCACACTTATTAGAATATATATGTTTGTAGGTAGTAGTACATAGGAATAAAATGCCTTCTTCTATGTGGTTACTATAAAACTTTACTTCATTCCAAGAGGGCATTTCGTCTCTTAAATGGTTGATCACATAGTGTTTTTGCTAGGCAACTTTCAGCTTCCATGAACCATGCCCCTCTATCATATAGAAATAGAGAAAAGTTATAGTCTAGCGCTTTCACTAATATATTAAATTTAATTCGTAGGAAGCTCACTATAAGACATCTACTCAAATATGCAGACATTCAATTCTACTGAACTGCTATACTATAAAAATTATATTTGCCGTTTCTTGCTCAAAATCACTGTATTAATGTAGCTCAGTCTTAAGAATATTAGAAGAAATCTAAGTAAACTCAGGCTAAAGAGAATATTTAATGAATTACAGTTCTTTTGATGATATACAAATGGAAAAGTTTCCAGTACTAAATGTCAGAAAGTAGGATAGCAAATGTCCAATATCTAAACTATGGTACTTTTATACATGAATTTTCTCAAAATCTTTTCAGTCCCAGGCAAGTGTTTAAACTTCATTGTTAACCTCTTAAGAAAATGACTTCAGATATTTAAACACACTGATATTTTGTGTTTAAACGGTATACTGAATTACAGTTACTGTAATTAGTATAGATTACAAACTTTATCATTAATTAATTGTGCATGGTTACAGAAAGGATGGAAAGAAGGCAATCATGTTTCATTATCTGAGCCTACTTCAACAGCATCAAATAATGTTGCTTCCACTTCAAATGTGGCAAAAAGTGGTTTAGCTTTCTGCCTAAAATAGTTGCTACTTACCTTGTGAAAATTTCTGAAATATGCTGCCTTCTCATCTGGAAATTTTTCTAGTCTTCGAGGCCCTTTACTTGAAGCTTTCTTGAAAACCAGCCAGCATCTTCTGAAAATCTACAACAACAAAAAAATAAATAAAGAAAAATTACTCTCCTTAGAAAACTCATATTGCAGCCACCTGAATATGATAACATAGAACTTCGATACTGTACATTTTCCCTCATTTTATTTATAAATAAATATTTATCTGTTTCATGTAAGATATAGAATAGTGAAAAACATTCATAGTTTTTAGAGAATTTTGTATCTCCGATTTCATTCTTAATCTCAAAAACACCTGAATAGTTTGGAAGGGAAAAAAATTAGCACATTTCTAGTACTAAATTATTTTTCAAGATCATGTATTGTACTATTGTAAAGTTGGTTTGGGTACAAATACCAGCTTCATTGATAAACATAATCTAAGCGTGCTTATTCAGAACTAAAATTCATTTAATCAATAGGCTTTATTCTGAGCTAAGCATGTACCAGATTGAAGCCCTAAACTAAACTAAATTCTTATACTAAATCTTGTAAAAGAAAATTAATATCCTTTGATATTCCTCCAGCCCCTCTTTAGCATTTGCAACTGGTTTAACATCAGTGTGCTAATTGTCTCAATGACATATTCACTAACCAAGTTGATCCCAGCCCCTGAGAGAACATAAATTATTTTAGTATGGGGACCGCATGAGGTGTTCAGGAACAGACAGATGTTCAGATAAAATGGGAATTGAGCAAGGAGACTGTACTGAATTACTTGTAACAGCAACTTTACCCTACATTATCTCTAGAAATAATGTTACAATGTGGCAGACTTCCAGTAAACCTAGTAGAAAGTAAATACCCAGAGGTAGTGCTTTTCATGTTCTTTGATATCTGGTGTTTTAATGAATACCTAATTTATAATGGTTTCACTTTCTGGTCCTTGAGTAACAAGAAGCTCTTTTGTGTTCTGCATCTCTAAGGTATTAGAATCTGTTCCTTTCTTCTTTGTTAATTTCTCTCACTATTGTTAATGCTGATAAATGTATTCAATGTCTGTTCTTTTTAATCTAATTTACACCTACTCCTTTTATTTGAATATTTGAAACAGAAGCGATCAAGAGCAATACTTTAAAATGTACAATATTGTATTAGGCCTCCAATATATTTAGAGAGGCTACTTTTTATAGATTATGTAGCTTCTTTTGCCCTGAACTTAAAGTGCTTAAAAATAATTTTGTGCAGCAATAAAATATTCAACTATTACAGTTAAAGAAAGCTGCTGATTTATTTCTTTACCTAGAATTATTTTTAAGAAACTTGCATGAGAGTACTGTATCAAATTATAATAAAAATAGGAGGCCCTTTTGTCAAAAGTATAATATTTTATAAAGGACCATGATGATTAAAAAAAAAAAACCTGGTAGTATTTCCATCATCAACACCATGACTATTTTTTTGAAAAAGAAATTTTGAAAGAGTTCAACTAGAAATACAATAGGAAAGACGGAAGGAATAAACTTAAAACTTTCTCTTGCCAACTTTAGCTATTTCAAACTCCCTCCTGAAGTTTTAAAATACCTATAACTGACTCTCAATGTTGCTAATGACAAAATCCCTGTGACTGAATTTCCAAACTAATTCATTATTCAATCCTTTAAATCAGTGGTTTTCGACCTGTGCGTCGGGACCCCATTTGGGGTCGAACGACTATTTCACGGGGGTCGCCAAACAAGGCTGTCCGCCATTTTTTTTCTGCTTTTCTTTGGCCACGCCCCTGGCATCTGGTGATGTATAAGTGGTTGGGGGGTCACCACAACATGGGGAACTGTATTATGGGGTCGCAGCATTAGAAAGGTTGAGAACCACTGCTTTAAATGATAGTTGAGATAAACACTGTGAACTAAATTGAATGACTTTTGGTTCTTATCAGTGAATTAAAAAGTCTTGAGCACAATAAGCCTACCCACATACAATTCATAATTAGCAAGCAATCATGGACAAAGTATTACTTAGGACTGTGTGAACTTAGATTTAAAGCATGATGCTTCCACAAAGCTTATAGGATGACCTTGGGCCATTCACTAACTCTTGGACTAATTTATTTCAGAGGTTTACTATAAAGTTAAAATAAAATGAACAATTTATGCTACTTGGAGGAAAAGTACAATATCAGTGAAAGAAATCACTGTCAATTCAGTGTGCGCTGAAATTATTAAATCTATTGAAAGCAATGCTAACTGTTGAAAGCAATGCTATCTATTGAAAGCAATGCTATCTCCAACTTTAGTTAAATGTACTTGCAGCTGGGTTGCAGCTAAAGTAAATTGTAGGCTTCTAGCGAGGGGGGACATGATAGCTGTGTTCCAATATCTCAGGGGCTGCCACAAAGAAGAGGAAGTCAAGCTATTTTCCAAAGCACCTGAAGGCAGGACAAGAAGCAACGGATGGAAACTAATTAAGGAGAAAAGCAACCTAGAACTAAGGAGAAACTTCCTGACAGTTAGAACAATTAACCAGTGGAACAACTTGCCTCCAGAAGCAGTGAATGCTCCAACACTGGAAGTTTTTAAGAAGAGACTGGACAGCCATTTGTCCGACATGGTATAGGGTTTCCTGCCTAAGCAGGGGGTTGGACTAGATGACCTCCAAGGTCCCTTCCAACTTTATTATTATTATTATTATTATTATTTCAGCTATTGAACAAATCCAATATTTTAAGCTTTCATTGTTTGTTCTGGGGTTCTATTTTTGTAAACAATCAAACAGGCAATTTTTGTAAAGTGGAATAAACAAGTAATAAGGTCAGGATGATAGGGAGTATCATGCATTACAAATGAATGTATATTTATCCAAGACATCTTGTCCAACAGAAACACGGTTAACTATTTAGGTACAGTTAGTTACTATATTATTTCTGATCCACTGTCAGCTGCATGAATTTCTCAGACTTTCTCAGTTCACAACACCCTTACTGTCCCTGTGATTTTTTCATGATACCCCTACCTCAAGATCAATCTTGAGTTTGTACTTTGTGATCCTATGGTTGCTCCTATATTGTGATCCTGTATAAATCAACTTCAGCACCATGGATAGTTTGGAAACGGCCCTGCTGCATAAGGTTGTAATGGGCAGACCAGAGTTGCTACCCATTTTTTGCATGTGGCACTTTTTTTTAGTAAACTAAGGTTTACTCCACATATATTCACCTGTGTCCTATCTTTCCTTCGGAGAAGGGGAAGTTGTAGAGAAAGTGATTGAACTGAAATTGCAGACAGCCCTGGATGAAACATTATCTGGACCAGCTTTAGGATAGTCCAGGGAAGTGAGGCAAAAGGTTATTTGAGTTATAATCTGAGGATCATAGAGCTGTAATGAAATTGTCACAAAGCAGCAGAGTTCCAACAGGCAGGAGTTTGGGGCAAAAATGTGCAGATATTGTGATAAATAGAGCAGTTATTCCTAATGAGAGAAAGGCTGGAAAATTCTGGAAATGACCCTGGTGTACAAACAGATATGCCAAATACCATTACTCTGCTCTCCATTGTACACAGCATGCTCTGGACCAGAGTGGTCTTTCTAGCTGTGGTTCTTCATCCTCTGACAGTGGACACCAAATCCTGGTGATTTTTGGGGTAGCCTCAGGTGTCTGGATGCTCAAAGCATCCTCAGGCTCAGATCCAAACAGCTCTCCCAAAGCAGATTCAGTTGTGTTAGGCCTCTTTGAATCAGAGTTGGCCATGACTTATAATGCATGGATAATCTAATGGATACTCTGGTCGCCAATTGGCTTCTGGGCACAATTCAAGGGGTGCTTTTCATGACTTGGGACCTAGGTACTTGTGCAACTGGCTTTTCCCTATAATGTCTATCCAAACAGTCAAAAAGATGTAGTAGGTCGGGCTCTCTATGTATCTCACCAGGGCTCATCCACTCTCTGGAATAATATTTCCACTTGATACACAATTGGCTCCTTTTAGGAAGCTGGTGGAAAACTGGCTATTTCATCAAGTCAGGAAGGCTGGATTGGGAAAGTAGGTTTCTTTTTTATTATTCTTAATACTTTTAACTATGACTCTCAATTCCACAGGAATACTTCTAATGGTTGTTTTTAATTGACTTTATATTTTAATCCCAATTATGTATTGGTGAATGGTCTGCTACTCAACTGGCAGAATGGAGTGTCCCATCAATCAATCTTGCTATACAGAATGTCTCCTGCAGTAATCCATCCAATTGGTGCCTCTTTTTATGTATATGTGTATGCGTATATGTGTACATGTAGACATATACAGTATATGGGGAGTTTTCCCAATGAAAGCTTGGCAACTTTTTAGTATAGTAAAGTATTTTTAGTAAAGTATTTTTATATATAACTCTCCCGGCAATCAAGTATTATTTATTCTACATATATATATTGCTAACAAAGAATGGGATAGCTATTTCGAGTTTCTTAACTCTCTTCAGCCACACTTACCCTTCTGAGATTCAAGCCTGGGCTGTGTGCATGTTAGGCAGCTGTATTTACCTCTAGGCCACAGGCTCCTTCTCACTTTGTCAGCTGTATCAGGGAGGGAAGAGACAGGGGGAGGAGATTTACCTTGAGTGTTTCTTGATGCACCCTGTCGGCTCAAATATGGGAGAAAGAAATCTTCTTTCTTTTTCTTTTGCCTGTATCAGCTTATACACACACACACACACACAGTATGTATGTGTGTGTGTGTGTGTGTGTGTATCCATGTTTATTTTATAATTAGATAAATGTTTCCCTATTTATCTAGCTGATAGTCAACATTCCAAAACTGTTATGTCTAGGAAATCTATCACAAGGGGATTCCCTTCTGTTTATTCTATATTCTGTTAAAACTTCTGCAGTATAAACAATGGAAAATTGTTTATACAAGGTTTATACGAGGTGGCGCAGCAGTTAGAGTGCACTACTGCAGGCCACTTTAGCTGACTGTGTTCAGCAGGTCAGCGGTTCAAATCTCACCGGCTCAAGGTTGACTCAGCCTTCCATCCTTCTGGGGTAGGTAAAATGAGGACCCAGATTGTTGGGGGCAATATAAATATATATATACACTGCTTAC